GTAGCCCAGGCTGGCCTCGAACTCACGGAGATCCGCCTGGCTCTGCCTCCCGAGTGCTGGGATTAAAGGCGTGCGCCACCACCGCCCGGCCAGATGACCCATTTCTAGTCCAAGTACCTACATGGTGGCTCACAACTATCTGAAACCCTACTTCCGGGATCCAGCACCCTCTTCTGGCCTCTGTGAGCACATGCATGCATGCAGGCAAGACATTTATGCACATAAAATATTTTTAAAAGCCTAAAACAAAAACAAAGCATTTTCTTTTGTAGATGAGACCACAAGTTGCTTATGAATGCATTGAACAGATTTATATCTATATCTAGATTTATATCTATATCTATCTATCTATATATATACACGTATCTATATATATACATATATGTATATGAGGAAGTCATGCTGGTAAGACTGAAAACAGGTTTAAAAAGGGAAATTCCCAGCTTTACATAGGTTACAAGGAGGTTTAAACAGTTGTTGGTTTTTTGTTTGTTTTTGGTTTTTTGTGTGTGTTTTTTTTCCGAGACAAGGTTTCTCTGTGTAGCTTTGTGCCTTTCCTGGAACTCACTCTGTAGTCCAGACTGGCCTCAAACTCACAGAGATCACCTGGCTCTGCCTCCCAAGTGCTGGGATTAAAGGTGTGTGCCACCACTGCCCGGCCAGTTTGTTTTTGGTTTTCAGACAGGGTTTCTCTGTGTAGCTTTGGCTGTCCTGGAACTCACAGTGTAGACCAGGATGGTTTTGAAATACCCTCCTGCCTCTGCCTCCCGGAGTACTGGCATTAAAGGCATGCCCCACCATGCCCAGCTGGTGTTCTTTCTTGTGAGTGCAGAGGTCAGAAGGCAGCTTGTGGGAATCATGCTCTCATTCATATCGCATGGGTGGGGTCAGGATAATCAGGCTTGTCAGTTATCGCCTTTTTATTCAGTGAGTCAGCTCACTGGCCTTGTTTTGAGACAGGGTCTCATGGACCTCAGGCTGACTCTAGCTGACTATGTGGCTAAAGATGGTCTTGAAATCCTGAAATCCCTTACCTCTTGTCTCTCTCTCCCAGGATGCTAGGATTACTAAATGCACCACCACCATGGCTATTTATGTGTTTATTTTTAGAGGTTTGTATTTGTTTTTCTTTTTTGAGACAGGGTTTCTCAGTGTAGCCTTGGCTGTCTTGGAACTCAATCTGTAGACCAGGCTGGCCTCCAACTCAGAAATCTGCCTGCTACTGCCTCCGGAGTGCTGGGATTAAAGTCATGCATCACCACCTCCCAGCCCAAGATTTTTTTTTTTAAGATTTATTTATTTATTATGTATACAGTGTTCTGTCTGCACGTATCCCTGAAGGCCAGAAGAGGGCACCAGATCTCATTACAGATTGTTGTGAGCCACCATGTGGTTGCTGGGAATTGAACTCAGGACCTTTGGAAGAGCAAACAGTGCTCTTAACCTCTGAGCCATTTCTCCAGCCCCCCCAAGATTTTTTTTTTAAAGATTTGATGATTTTGGGCTGGAGAGATGGCTCAGAGGTTAAGAGCACTGTTTGCTCTTCCAAAGGTCCTGAGTTCAATTCCCAGCAACCACATGGTGGCTCACAACAATCTGTAATGAGATCTGTTGCCCTCTTCTGGCCTGCAGGGGTACGTGCAGACAGAACACTGTATACATAATAAATAAATCTTTAAAAAAAGATTTGATGATTTTATATCATATATATCATATGTATGAGTCTTTTGCGTGCATATATGCATATTTGCCCATGGTCATGCAGTACCTGTGGAGGCCAGAAGATGGTGTTGGACTCCTGGAACTGGAGTTAGGTAGTTGTGAGCTGTCATGTGGGTTCTGGGAACCAAAACCTGGGCCTTCTGGAAAAGCAGCCAGTGCTCTAACTGCTGAGCCATCTCTCCAGCCCAAGATTAATTAATTAGTTATTATTGTGTTGTTTGTTTGTTTGTTTGTTTGAAGACAGAGTTTCTCGGGGTTGGGGATTTAGCTCAGTGGTAGAGCGTTTGCCTAGCAAGCGCAAGGCCCTGGGTTCGATCCTCAGCTCCAAAAAAAAAAAAGAGTTTCTCTGTGTAACAGCCCTGGTTGTCCTGGAACTCACTTTGAAGACCAGGCTGTCCTCGAACTCATAGAGATCTGCCTGCCTTTGCCTCTGAGTGCTGGGATTAAAGGCGTGAACTATCACGCCTAGCTCCAAGACTTATTTATTTATTTAAGTTAATTTATATTTATTTCACTGGTGTTTTGCCTGTATGTATGTCTGTTCTGTGTCTGTGTGAGGGTGTTGGATCCTGGAGTTACAGATGGTTGTGAGCTGCCATGTGGTTGCTGGGAATTGAACCCGGGTCCTCTGGAAGAGCAGCCAGTGCTCTTAACTGTGAGCCATCTCTCCAGCCCCCAGGATTTATTTTTAGCATTTTAATTGTGTGTGTGAGTGAATGCCACCCGTGGAGGCCAGAAGCGGTCATCGGATCCTTGGAAGCTGAAGTTGCACGTGGTTTGGCGCCCACTGAAGTGGGTGCTGAGCCATCTCTCCAGACCTTCTTGTTGTTGTTGTTGTTCTTACCAGACCGGCCTTGAACCCCAGGTCCTCTTTAGCCTCCCCCCCCCCTCGTCCAGCTTGATCATCTAAAGAGCGTGTGGTCTCCAGGCTGCCCTAAGCTGTGGCCTGCTCTGTGTCCCCAGGATAGTGCACCTGTGCCTCCGTAAGGCTGACCAGAAGCTGGTCATCATCAAGCAGATCCCAGTGGAGCAGATGACCAAGGAGGAACGGCAGGCGGCCCAGAACGAGTGCCAGGTGCTCAAGCTGCTCAACCACCCCAACGTCATCGAGTACTACGAGAACTTCCTCGAGGACAAGGCCCTTATGATTGCCATGGAATATGCACCAGGTAGGCCAGAGGCCTTGCCTGAGCCTAGAGGGGCCTTTCCCTTCCAGGAGAGCTGGGCGCCATGAGGTGGCTTCCTTCTGGAACGGACGTGGCTGAGGGGGAGAGGCCCCACTTGTGTGACCCTGACAGGTTCCTTGCCCTCTCTGGTCCCAATGTCCTGTTCCGTTGAAGCAGTGGGTTGTCCCCAGTGTGGGGAAAGCTCAGGCCTTGATTCGCTCTCTGGGCCACAGGTGGCACCCTGGCTGAGTTCATCCAGAAGCGCTGCAATTCCCTGCTAGAGGAGGAGACCATCCTTCACTTCTTCGTGCAGATCCTGCTCGCGCTGCATCACGTGCACACGCACCTCATCCTGCATCGGGACCTCAAGACCCAGAACATCCTTCTCGACAAACACCGCATGGTCGTCAAGATCGGTGACTTTGGCATCTCCAAGATCCTCAGCAGCAAGAGCAAGGCCTACACGGTGCCCGGATGTGCAGGGGGCACCGAGGGTCTTGATAGCTGGGCTTACCCTACATTCCTGCCTCTTCCTCCCCTATGTGGTCCTGCGAGAGGAGCCCCTGGGCCTGCTTTGAGACGCTATCCCCAAATGAGTCTCTGGCTGGCCGGAGTCTCTGGTCCTCTCTTTCCAGGGCTGTAATGCAGACTTCCCTCCTGCAGGTGGTGGGTACTCCATGCTACATCTCCCCCGAGCTGTGTGAGGGCAAGCCCTACAACCAGAAGAGTGATATCTGGGCTCTGGGCTGTGTCTTATATGAGCTGGCCAGCCTCAAGAGAGCCTTCGAGGCTGCGGTGAGTACAGAGAACCCCAAGGGTTGTCTAGAATTCCAGCCCTTTGCCTTAGCTCTGACCACTTCTGTGTTCCTTCTCTTGTGGCTGGCTGAGTCACGTCAGTCACTCACTTGCTGGCGGCTTACCCCAGGGCAGGGCCGTGTGTCTCCCTTGCTCAGCTCAGAGGAGGGTCGGGCTTGAGTCCTGTGTTAGCCTGAGAATTCCTGAGGGGATGGATGTGACCTCCGGCTCTTCCATCAGATTAGAGACATTCCCCGAGAGCAAGCCTGGAGTTTCTCAAAGCACCTGGGATTTCTGCGGACATAGTTGAAACTTCCTATCAGACTAGGAAGTTCTGAAAGCAGTGTTAGGCTCTCCTTCCATTCTGCCTTCTCTGATGAGACTGGGTGTCATGAGGGTAGACCTGTTTTTATTCCCCCAGTGGGAGAACTGCCCTCCCTGACAGCCCAGCCCAGCACTCTGGCCATCCCTACATGTCGTGCCTTCACAGAACCTGCCAGCTCTGGTACTGAAGATCATGAGCGGCACCTTTGCCCCCATCTCCGACCGGTACAGCCCGGAGCTGCGCCAGCTCGTCCTGAGTCTGCTCAGCCTGGAGCCCGCACAGCGGCCACCCCTCAGTCACATCATGGCGCAACCCCTCTGCATCCGGGCCCTCCTCAACCTCCACACCGATGTGGGCAGCGTCCGCATGCGGAGGCCTGTGCAGGGAGATGGGTTCTGGGCCACAGGGGCGGGCGGGCGGGCGGGCACCCAGTGGGAACACAGGAGATCTAGCGCTAACCATGGTGTGTAGTCACATAGGACTGCCAGGGACAGGACTCGTCCTGAGGCCCCTCTGTATCCTGCAGGGCAGAGAAGTCCCTGACCCCAGGACCACCCATGCCCCCCGGCAGCACAGGGAGCCGGGCCACCAGTGCCCGATGCAGGGGTGAGTGAGTCGGGACCAGCTGCTGCAGATCCGCAGACTCCTTACCCTTCCCACTAGTTTAACTGGCCTCAACCTCTGTCCCTGCAGGTGTCCCCCGGGGACCTGTGAGACCGGCCATCCCACTGCCACTGTCTTCCGTGTATGCCTGGGGTGGTGGCCTTAATGTCCCCCTGAGGCTCCCAATGCTCAACACTGAGGTGGTCCAGGTGTCTGCAGGGCGCACGCAGAAGGCTGGCGTCACACGCTCCGGGCGCCTCATTCTGTGGGAGGTCAGGTTGGCGGTGGGCTTGTTCCGGTGAGGGTGGGAGACCAGAAATGGAGTTGGGGTCCTCAGGCGCCACCCACTCCCCTGCAGGCCCCGCCCCTAGGCACTGGAGGAGGCACGCTCCTCCCAGGGGCAGTCGAGCAGCCTCAGCCTCAGTTCGTCTCCCGGTTCCTGGAGGGCCAGTCGGGTGTCACCATCAAGCATGTGGCCTGCGGGGACCTGTTCACGGCTTGCCTGACTGGTGAGCTTGTCAGGGGAGTATTCTGGAGACAGGAGAAAGCCAGACAGTGCAATTTCTCTCATCCCAAATTGGTCCATTAACGCTTCTCTCGCCTAAAGGGTCACTGCCTCTATCTAGTAGCGGTTGAGGTGGGCAGACTCCAGCGCCTTTTCCTGGCACAGTAGGCTGGCAGTGAGCGTGTTGTAGTGTGCCCATTGACAGATGGGGAAACTAAGGCTCTCACTTATGTCCAGAATTATACATTGGAAGGAGACCACCTATGCCTTTCCCCCGATCCTGCCCTTCCAGCCCCTTTTTAATATATTCCCTCCTCCTCCTTTCAATTCCTCCCCCCACGCCCCCAACCTCCCCACCCTCCCACCACCACCCTGCCACATACACAACACACACACACACACACACACACACTCTGGAGACTGAACCGAGGACCTTGTACATGGCGGGCAAGCATTCTACTATTGAGTTGCGGTCCCAGGTTTTTGTTTTTTTAAGATAAGGTCTTGCCTTGCAGTCCTGGAACACTTAGAGATTCGTCTACTTCTCCCTCCTGAGTGCTGGGCTTAAAGGCATGCACTACCACACCAGGAGGCCGTTTGTACTTTACTTTATTTTATTTTATTTTATTTTTTAAGGCAGTGTTTCACTAAGTTTGACCGGCCGGACTTACAGTTCTCCCTTATCCCAAGTAACAGACTTGCCACCAGACCAGGCATGTGGTTTTTTGAGACAGGGTGTTTCTGTGTAGCCCTGGCTGGCCTCGAACTCACAGAGATCCTCCCGCCTCTACCTCCTGAGTGCTGGGATTAAAGGCGTGCGCCACTGTGCCCCGCTTAGCCCCCAGTATTACCTCCCTCCTCCATCCTGTAAGTGAACCAAACTGCCCGAATGCAGACCCACTCCCCTGGTGTTTCTCTGCCCTCCTCCCAGACCGAGGCATCATCATGACCTTTGGCAGCGGCAGCAACGGGTGTTTAGGCCACGGCAACCTCACCGACATCAGCCAGGTGGGTGTTCCATGTACCCTGGAGAGGAGAGGTGAGGGTGGCAGGGAGCCCTCTTCTGAGGGCTGACAGCAGGTCAGGGGCAGGGGAGTTCCCAGGAGCCACAAGTGCCGCCAGCTCCCAGGCTGCACCTGTTCTGGGTCGGCTGGGGGAAGTACAGAAAGCTTCCCCAGCAGCTTCCCACCTGTTGCTGTGCCTGCGTGCTGTGCATGTGTGGGGTGGTGTTAAAGAGACAGTTACCTTCCGAGAACTTGCAGCCTCTAACTTCCTGCTTGCAGGGGAGAGGACAAGTCCCATACACCTCAGTCACCCTACTTTATCCCTCTCTCTAGCCCACCATTGTGGAAGCCCTGCTGGGCTATGAGATGATCCAGGTGGCCTGTGGGGCCTCTCATGTGCTGGCCCTGTCCGCAGATGGGGAACTGTTTGCCTGGGGCCGAGGAGATGGTGGTAAGGCCACTTCCCAGCTCCGGCCTTTAGGGTCCGTCTCCCAGCTTCTCCATCATGGTTTGTTCCTCATCATGCCCATCTTCCTCTCCATGGCCCGTTCTTTCCTTCCTGTTTTTCCTCGAGTCTGTTCATTCACTGGACACACCATTATTTCATACCTACCATGTGTTTACCCTTTGTTAGGTGTTGGGTTGGTAAGATGGGATGTTGCCAGATGTGGTGGTGCAGGCCTTTAATCCCAGCACTCAAGGCTAGCCTGGGCTACATAGCAAGTTCCAGATTAGCCAGGGCTACATAGTGAAACTCTCTCTCTGTCTCACTCGCTCTCGCTCTCTTGCTCTCTCCCCCCACCTCCCCAGAGACAGGGTTTCTCTGTGTAGCTCTGGCTGTCCTGGAACTCACTCTGTACACCATGCTGGCCTTGAACTCACAAAGATCTGCCTGCCTCTGCTTCCTGAGTGCTGGAATCAAAGGCATGCGCCACTACTGCCTGGCTGAAACCCTGTCTCAAAAACAAACAAAACAAAACAAAAATGTGGATTCCTTCAGGCTTATGACGTAAGGGAGATTTTGTTCTTCTAACTGTACTTACCTTTTTTTTGCAATGTTGGGACTCAAACTTCACACATAGTGGTAAGTACATGCTCTGTCAGTGACCTACACCCAAAGTACTGAAAGTGGGGATGTCATAGACGGGTTCCTGTCCTGGAGGTCTCAAGTGTAAAGTGTGTGTGTGTGTGTGTGTGTGTGTGTGTGTGTGTGTGTGTGTGTGTGTGTGTGTGTATGGGGGGGGGTGGATGCTAGAGAATACCAGAGCTATAGCAGAGATTAACACTGGATTTAAAGGGGGCTCCTACCAGGGGAGGCAGGTGGCATCGCATAGGGCCTTTCCTTTTTCTGAGACAGGGTCTCTCCTGCAACTTGCTGCCTCAGCCTTTTGAGCGTTAGGATTCTTAAAATTTTGTTTGTTTTCAAATAACATATTTTTTTAATATGCATTGGTGTTTTGCCTGCATGTATGTCTGTTTGAGGGTGTCGGATCCCCTGGAACTGGAGTTGCAGACAGTTGTGAGCTGCCATGTGGGTGCTGGGAACTGAACCTGGGTCCTCTGGAAGCGTAGACAGTGCTCGTAATCGCTGAGCCATCTCTCCGGCCTGTTTGTTTTTTTGAGACAGAGCTTTGCTATGTAGCTTCAGCTAGCCTGGAATTCACTGTAGCTCAGGTTTGCCTCGTATTCATGGCAGCCCTTCCGGGTCAGCATCCTGAGTGCTGTGGTTGATTAGAGGTGTGCTCCGTCACATCCAGCTGCTGGTGGAATCACAAGCAAGGCTTTAGAGGATGTCAACCAGCTGTAGGGCCTAAGAAAAGCATTTCAGGGTGAGAACAGCCTTCATTCACCCTCTTTGCATCCTGGCATCACCATCCCTAAAGTTCAGAGTAACCCCTTATTGTTGTTGTTGTTTTCTTGTAGGGAGGCTGGGACTTGGCACCAGGGAGTCCCATAGCTGCCCCCAGCAGGTGCCTGTGCCCCTAGGGCAGGAAGCTCAGAGAGTTGTTTGTGGTATTGACTCTTCCATGATCCTCACCTTGCCTGGCAGGGTCCTGGCCTGTGGAAGTAACAGGTAAGTAGATGCATCAGAGTAATAATCCTGCCTTTCCACCCTCCTCAGCTACAAAGCATTTCAGTCCTTATTGCCTCCCTCCTTCCAAGGATCGGGACTAAAGAGGGATGAAACTTCTGTGTGATTCAACTCGGTAGGATCTGTCTCCTTGTGGGACAGATCCTAGCAATCCCTGCAGAGGCTAGTGGGAGAGAGGCAGCCTGTACCAACTTCTGGCTTCTGGCTCCATCCTTAGGTTCAACAAGCTAGGCTTGGACCACATATCCCTGGAGGAGGAGCCTGTTCCCCACCAGCAAGTGGAGGAGGCCCTGAGCTTCACACCCCTGGGCTCTGCACCTCTGGACCAGGAGCCGCTGCTGTGTGTGGACCTGGGCACTGCTCATTCAGCCGCTGTGACTGGTGAGTAGGACCCAGGCATGGGAGGCCTAAGGGGGATTCACCTGGCCTCCTCCAGACTGCTCTTCAAGTGCCCTTTGTTTTCTTCCCATCCCTGCAGCCTCCGGTGACTGCTATACGTTTGGCAGCAATCAGCATGGGCAGTTGGGCACCAGTTCTCGCCGGGTCAGCAGGGCACCCTGTCGGGTCCAAGGCCTAGAGGGCATCAAGATGGTGACAGTGGCCTGTGGGGATGCCTTCACTGTAGCCATCGGGGCAGGTGAGGGTGGGCAGGACGAGGGTGGACAAGGCAAGCATGTAGTGGGTTATGCTCAGTACCTTCCCTTTGGAGTCATTCTTACTGTCCAGGGCTTGGCTGCTTGCTTAGGCTGTGCCCTACTCTTCTGGATTCTTGGCAGAGGGGGACGTTTATTCTTGGGGCAAAGGAGCCCGAGGTCGACTGGGAAGGAGGGATGAGGATGCTGGACTCCCTAGGCCAGTGCAGCTGGATGAGACTCATCCTTACGTGGTGACTTCAGTGTCCTGCTGCCATGGGAACACTCTCTTGGCTGTTCGATGTGAGTTTCCTTTTCCTGTCTCACCCACGCCACAGGGGGTTAACCCAGCTCTCTTCTACTCCCTGCTCCATCCTCAGCTGGTACAACTCACATTACCCAGAGCAGTCTTCTGCCCCCAGAAAAGTGAAAGCAGAACCAGCGGGGGATAGGAAGGGGATGTGTAAAACACCAAGCTTCCAGCCTGGGTGAGCAAGAGCTGCCTCTCTCTGCTGCTCTCCAGGCCTCACTTGAATTCTTTCTTCTAATACTTCCGGGATCCAGCTGATATTAAATGTCCATTTCTGGCCTGGCAGGAGGGTTTTGGCTCCAGGGCTCAATGAGATCAAAGGTTTGGGTGATGCTTGCTGTAGGCCTTGCCTCCAGAAAGGCTGCAGATGCTTCTCTTTGATACTCTGCAGCAGTCACAGATGAACCAGTTCCCCCCTGAGGCAACAGGATTATCCACGAGACCACCTCTGAGTGTTCTGAAAACTGCAGGTGCCTGAGGAAGACTGTTTCCAGCTCCTGGATTGTGTCATCAGTGAGGTGGAAAGGCCACTGGCCGCCACTCTGTTCCCCCAAGTCCCCGCCCCCAAACTCCTTATCTTACTCAGTGACTCCAGGCTCCAGTCTGGCAGGAATGAACAGCCGGCTGGTTTTCAAAGACTGCTAAAAACGCACACACACACACCCCACCCCAAGCCCGGGTAGAAATACATCCCTGGCGGTGTCCTCATGGAGACTGATGCCGTGCTTTGGAGTAGGGCAAGCCGGGGCTTGTTTGGACTGGCCATTAGGCCTGCTTGATCTCCGCATTGTTGCAGGAATCCTATCACTACACTGCATAGCTTGAGGCCGATAGGTCGGAGGGAGTCCCCTTCTCAGTCTTAACTGAGGCAGGGGTTTGCTCAACCTCTGAGTGGGCGCCCCCACCTCCCAGGGCGGGGAGTACTGGAGCAACTGAGTGGTTGCCAAGGGAATCCTGCTGAAAGTTGCCGGTCACCGCAGGCCATTTCCCAGACCTAAGACTTGGGGAAAACGTAGCAGGCCAGACCCGACCAGTTTCTCAAAGGTTTGAAAATAGCGCCAATAAAAATATCAAATGCCTGCTTGGCATATGGTCTCTTCTGGGGTGGAGGTGGCCTCTAGACACCCCAAGACTGGGCTGGGCCCGACTGTGGTGTAGGGCAGCGGCCAGGAGGAATGTGGGCGCAGTCAGAGGCCGGAGGCGGGGGCCAAGGTTCCGCTGGCCCAGCGCCCAGCCCAGTTTCCTTGCTCCAGCCGGGTTTTCTCGGATCCTGTTGCCAGGCTTCGCTGCCTAGCACCTGGAAGCTAGAGCCACGGGTCCCTGGGCGGCGCGTGGCGCAGGAGACCTTAAAGCGGCCCCTACAGAGTCAAGTCTTTGTGGTGCGGCCCGACAAGGCACCGTCCCAGCGCAAGGGGCCCCCCACTTCTGGAAGAATCTCAGCCACGCTCTCGGTTCCAACGGGAAAGAGAAAGCCTCCGCTTCCGGGGGTGGGCGAGGCTGACTTAACTTTCGGAGCCTGGGCCGAGTCCCGGGAGCGACCGCATGCGGAGGGCTGGCGGAGGGGGCGGGGCGCGAGGGCGGGCTCTAGGACCGCGGGGCCGCGGCTCCGCCCCCTCTTCCGGCGGG